AATTGGAGGGGGTACTCCGACAGGCTTTAAATAATAGCTCTTTTTCGTGGGTCACATTATTAATTTTTTAACCTATTAGATATGCAAACTTTTTAAATCTATCTATTGTGTTATGTAGCCTCAGTATTAGGCTTTTGATGGCCACTGACAAAATTTTTCTATGTCAATTCGTTTTTGAGTTTTGGGGGTTTTTGTTAAAAAAATGAAAAATGGTCAAAGTTACCCCGCCGGTCAAAGTAACCCCGCCAGTCAAAGTAACCCCATTTTACGGTATGGCACATATCTTTTATGACCTCACTCTTCAGCATCATGCTGTTCATGTTGTTTTCATTGTATACCGTAATGTATAAAGATTTGGTTTTCAACAAGCTAATACAATGTTGTAATTTATTAAATAATAAGCCAAATAACATTGTCCTAATTTATACTATTGAGACTTTCTTTGATTAAACTGGAGCCATACTACTATCATAACTTGTTTACATAGAAATATTGAACAATTTTCTCATCTATGGGTTTAGCTTGAGAAGCTGTCCATTATTGCAGTGGGAGTTTCTAACTCTTAACTAAATTTTGATAGTATGATATGGCCCCATGGTTCATTTCTTGATGCTTTAGTATGGTATGGCCCCATGTTTCATCTCTTGATGCTGTAAAAGATTTGACTTCAATATCATACTTTCCCCATGTATGCTGGAGAGTACCATAGGTATTATACATGTATTACTAGAATTATTAAGTAATACCTACATTAACTGATTTCAGTATTTATCAATATTGCTGTACTTGAATTTTTATGTTTAGTAACTAATAATTACTTTGTCAGACAGAAAGAGCAGTGGTGACCATCAACCAGACCGAGGAGCTCCTACAGGACAAGTCAACTGATCAGGAACTGCACAGCATTGCTGTCGAGGAACTACAGGCAGCTAAAGATGCATTTGAAGAGCATTTCAACTTGGTACATGATAATGACCTACATACATAAATAATTTAGACCGATTTTTCTTTTAAGTTAGATATGTGCTAGGCATAGTTGCTCAATGACATAGTGAGCCCTTTGCTGATAGATTTCTGATTTGAATTTTGAGTATTTATTTTATTGATTGACTGTATGTTTCTGAATAATATCAGCCAATTTCATCCTCCTCTTTAAGTTTTATCAGCTTTATACGGTATATGTAAATATAGTGGATCTTGATCTTCCTATGATTTTGCTTCTTTCTACTTCCTTTGTCAAGTTTTTGAGTTGATTTGATGGTTGTTGATATCAATTATAGATTGTTACTCCCTAAATTTTTCAAAAATTTCTTGTTGTTAGAAGTAACTCAGCCATTTACTTTAAGCAATTTTCAGCNAAGATCGGGTTCCAAAGGCCGGATCCCTTGTGAATCAAGTCACGAAAAGTTCAAGAATCGGCAACAGGCCATGGGCCTATGTCTTCAACGCCGACACTTCTATTCTATTCTATTCTATTATTATTATTAACAAATATCACTTAAGGGGGTCGTATCGGTCAAAATCTATTTTCTATATTTAGGGAAGGATCGTCTCCAAACTTGGTACACATATTTAAAATTGAAAATGACGACTATTTCATTCATGTGAATTTTTCGAAAAAATGAAAGAAAACGTGAAATTCATAGAAAACGGCCAAAAAAAGGGGATACTCTAAAAAAGTTTTAACTGTTGCAAATCACATGCTACAACATCGAGATACTTATCATTCGATGCGTAAAGACCATATCTAGCGATTGTCGGGCCACTTTTTGAATTTTTTTCTTGGTTCTCTTGTTATGATGATATTTCTGAAAAATTTTGAATTTTCCCTTTTTTCAAAATATTTTCAAAACTATAACGAAATCGACAAAAAGTTGCTCGACAATCTCTAGATATTTTAAGTGCGAATCGAATGGTGTATCTTTCATCGCTGTAGCTTCAAAACTAGGAGTTATAAGTTTGCTGTGACAATAAGTGTGAATGTTCATAACTACTGCCCGACAAAGTCCTGCTCGCATCTGAATAGCCACTCAATGTAGCAAGGATTCGAAACTAAACGTTACTGGAGCTCGATTCCAGTCGAGGATGGTGGGAGCAACTCCATGCACTACTCCCCGTACGCTGTCTGCCGGGTAACTGAGGTGCAGCTCGCCTAGACGCTCTATTTCAAGTGTTTGGCAGCTAATTTATTCCATCTTTAAATGTTAGAGAACCCCCCACCATACCCTCCATTTGGGATCTGTAGTGAACGCATAAATAAACGTACAGAGATGGTTTTGGTACCGTTGGATAGGTCAGAATGTCAGCTTTAAGATGAGACTAAAAACCGGAAAAGTCAAAATCCAAAATTTTGACCGATACGACCCCCTCAAAAATTGGGCTAATATTTATTTCAACAGCACCATAGCTGTGGTAGTACAATGCCGCCTAACAAGTTACGTATACCCTGCACTCCCAATCCCATTTAAAGTAAAAAATGACCTCTAAAAATTTGCGTTGACATTTAATATAAGGAGACGTTTTAGGATCACAAAAATATGTATTATTTATGAATTTTGCAAATGCGATTTTTGTGTTACTCATCTTTAGCTGAAGCTCTACAATCATTCCTGTAAAATCTAACATTAATTCCATTATTTCAGTTCGACGTAGTTATTCATGGCAAAGACCTTAAAATCGACACGTTTCGTTCTCGAGGCGCTGGAGGCCAAAGCGTTAACAAGACTGATTCTGCTGTGAGGATTACACACTTGCCAACTGGTGAGTCTAACTGGTTTTGATCTCATTGCTCTTACAGAAATACACGAGTAATAAATTTAATGTCATATTTTTATCAATTTTTTTTATCAACTCAGAGCAATTACATTGAAGAAAAAAAATCATGTATTGTATTGACTGTATGCTTTCTATTGCTTCGACTTTCTGAATGAGATGAGATATGATAATTAACATGACGAAATTATCATGAATATATAGACCAAGATGAATTCCTATGAAAAGCATATTGTTCTGAAATTAGCAAATAATGTGAGTGATGATTTCATCTTGAGCTAGGTCTGTAATTATGTTATTAAACATCACAATGGTATTAGTATTATAAAATATTGGTAAAGGCGAAAATAACACTGACAGTGACGTGCCAAGTGGAAGTTACTGCTACAGTTTCAGTGGCATTTTGAAACAATTTTTTTATACGGAACACATACTAAGGTTACTAGTTTCCGTCCTAAGAGTGTAATATTGAACAATATTAACAATAACAAACGATCTGATTTTCAGGCACAGTGGTCGAGTGTCAGCGGGAGAGGAATCAGTATCGCAACAAGTCGCTTGCTCTAGCGCGCCTTCGGTCGCTGCTCTACCAGCGCGAGAAAGACAAGGAAATTGACGCTTCCACTGCCAGCAGGAGGCTTCAGGTATATATTATAACGAGTGCTTATCACTTTTTTGACATTGATATGAAGCAGGCTATTATTTTAACTTTGTTCATGGAAAAACCGTGCAAATAATAACGACATGAACGTATTTTTGTGTAGGTGAGAAAACGGATAATAATTTGATGTGGCTATATAATTTCTTGTTTTTTTTAGCGCATTTTCTCATTTATGGAAAAAATGCACTATTGTGCTCGCCATGTTCGTCGGTCTGTCTGTCCATCCGTCCGTCTGTCTGTGACCTCAAGTTTTCGTCGACGAGAAAATGCGCTCTCTGTCACTCACTGCAGTGAGTACTGAGTTATATTTTTTTTATGTGTCTGTTTGTTGCTGGCAGGTCGGCACCAGAGGACGATCAGAGAAGATACGCACGTACAACTTCCCGCAGGACAGAGTTACTGATCACAGGTCAGTTGTTGCCTTGTGTCAGCTCGCTGTTTTCTGCAGGGCTGAGATGTTATTTCATACATATTAACCGCCAAAAAATTAGTGCACATGAATTCAGTCATTATCAATACGCATTGCCCGCAGCACGTTTTCAACGCAGCACAATTGGTACTTTTTACTATTGAATTAAATACAATTGTACTAATTATTTAACGTATGATTCGTTATTATTTAACGCAAATGAAATTAAAAATGCCTCAATAAACTATTTGGTAATCAGTTTTGTGAAATTAATGAACTTGAATAAGACTTACATTAGTAGTAATTCAAACTGAAGCGATTTGGGAATGTAGGTACTGGAGCGAGTGCGAATGAATCGATGCAAAGATTTGTATGATTCTAAGTAATTACCGTGTCCAGGATCGGGTTGAGTATTCACGACGTGAACGGCGTGTTATCTGGAGGAGAAGTGTTTCAACATCTGCTGGACGAACTTAAAGAATTCGCCCACCGCGAGAACCTGCAAACGCTGCTGATGTCCGATCCCCTCGCCAATATCATAGCGAGCGTTAATAAGAAGTAGTGACACTTGAACTCTCGTTCGAGCGCATGACAAGGGAACTGGCTTTGTCCTTGACCGATGTGAAGACCTGGATGCCATGTTGAAGAAAAATTGTAGCTACCATATAGCCAATTATTGTTGAGAATCGGAAGGGCATGCAATAATTGACGATCCATTCTTGGAAGTTAGAATGAAAATGATTCTTGCATAAGTTGGCAGCGTTTGTTCTGTAAAGTAACTAACAGTGAAAGGAACTAAATGTGCACGAATTTTGAATAAAATATACGACATGTATAAGTGACTTTTATTCAACCACAATTTTATATATATATTTATATATTCAACAATATATTTTTTTGCGTTCATTCTCCTTTTCTGTTTTCGTGAAAATCCATTCGAGCCGAGAAGCACAGATAACCTTCAGTTTGGATTATAATAGTCTAACGCACAAATTTATTCCATCCTGACAAACATTAATGTAAGCACGTGACGCAGAGTAATAGTATGCTCAACAAGTCTGTTTAATAATATGTGCAGATCATAATTATAATAATATGTGCAGATCATAATTAGTGAAGGTCATCGCAATACGTGCCCATCAAAATACTTCATATTGGAATTTAAAATCAATATATATTTTTCTGCATACGGGCGACATTGCCTTACGAATTACAATTAAATGCGCATAATTGTGAAAAGCGGCAAATAAATGAATATGCGTACCTGCCTGGCAGAGCTACCAATGCCCAATTACTATTAATCTCGTTGAATTTCTTTCACTCCAGCGGTCATATTCATTGCTTCATGAACTAGCAAGATAAGACCGGTCATTGTACACAATATTTTGCATGACTTCTGACGAATATGTCGGATGAGCTCAACGAATCACTCGGCACCATAACACTCGACGCGCCGTATGCAATCTCAACTGCGAGAGTTAAAGAAGCCGTAAGAGGAACATTGCTTGTTCGTATAATGTGAACCAAGCTAAGACCTTTCAAGTAATGCAATAATGCTTTTGGACCAAGATAAGCTATGAACAAGACAAGCATGCAATCAAAAGAACACAAAAACGTGGTAAATGTGAAACACAGAACTAAGAACAAGTTTTCATGCGTATGCGATGCACATTTGGCTTGTCGTGGACTCTTCTGATGACGCGTGTTTACTTGGGGCCGTTAAGGACAGCGTCATTGATAGCTTCTGCCACGTAGTCGATGTTCTTGGTGGTTAGACCGCAGATGTTGATACGGCCGCTCGACAGCATGTAGATGTGGTATTTCTCAGCGATGAATTTCACTTGGCCAGCTGTGATGAGAGGTGAGTAAAGGTGAATGTATAAAAATGCAATAAATTAAACGAGTATAATTTTTGAACAATTCCGGAACGGAACTGGAAGAAGAGTTATTGTGCTGTCTAGGTAGAGAGGCAAGAGGCAAAATAAATACCTAGGCGAGTTCTGAAGGAGCTCAAAAGAAAAATAAAGAAATGAAATAGATAGAAATAAAAGAAAAATACAAATGAAGAGAATCGCCCAAAGTTTTTTTACCGTAGCCAAGTAAAGAGCAAACTTCAGTTGAACTATATAAATATGTTGCATAATCTTAATCCTCATTTAAAGCGTTCACAATAACAAGCAAAGAAAATGATTTGCTTTTCATTGTTTAATAATGAAAAAGAAAACAAGATTTATGAAAAAAAGTTTTCTGGCATCAATAATAAGTTCATTTATTCAGTGGTTCTGAATCGTACGGTAATAGACCTAAGAGCAATAAATTGACTAATCAGAGGTAATGGAAGAATTCTTCTACAATGTTCGAATGCAATAAAAAAAACAGTGATGACAGAGACAAGCTTGCTTATGCATGTTATATATGAGAAACAAATTAGGGGAATTTCACAATCCCTTCAATGAAAAATGACCTGAGAGGCCGGAGTATGAGAACATGCCGATCTGGGACGTGATGTGGTCCCAGAGGCCCGGCGTGCCGAGCTTCTCGAGACGCTCACGCAATCCCGCGCGCATCTCCTGGATGCGGGAGCTCATCGTGCGGATGCACGTGCGCCTGCAAATCAGAGTGAAAATAATAAATATAGAAGTGTACTCATTTTCCTTCCGTGGCCATGTTTGTCTTGATGTTTGTGATCAAAGATACAACACCGAGAACAAGAAATGGAATATTCCCGCCGCGAAATGCCAGGAACACGAAAAGCGGTCCAAGGAAAGCGTAAAAATAGTAACAAATCGATTGTATTTCCATTGAGGCATAAAAATTTTTACTTAGAACACAGTCGTTGGTTTAACGGAGCCACGTTCGCCATTCTAAGAAACAAGGTACGGTAACAAATTGAATGTATTGAACAAACCATTCTTCAAAGAGCTTGGGGTTGTTGAGAACGGTAGAAACGACTCGCGCTCCGTGGTTGGGAGGGTTCGAGTAGCTGCCTCGCACCAGCAGCGTCACCTGCGACCTGAGGGCAGGGATGACGGACGCATCCTTCACAACCACCGCCAGGTTGCCCACGCGCTCGTCTGGTGAGTATAAGACCATGAGTCGTATGCGATATATAAACGATAATATAATTATAATCGATATAAACCATGATTGGGTCTCGTATGCGAGTTAGTTGGTTCGTGGGTTATGGTAATGAGAGAGGATCGAGTTGGGTGAATGTGGTGACAAAAGATGATCAAGTTTGTGTGACAAGACAACGAAAAATTACCAATTTTGGCCAGTATGATAAAAAGAAAGGAGTCAGTTGGGCAAAATAGCAAGAGAAGATCAAGCCGTTTTTATCCATGATACGAAAAGATAAAAAGATGATGAATTGCGATGGGTATGATACTAGAGAGGATCAAGATTTTTAGGCATACTATCGGCGGGGATTGATTAGAATATCCTGAAGAGAAGACTTAATGCATTAGCAGAGCATAAATGATAGAGTGAGTCTTTTACTGCCAAGAAATGTGAGGGTAGGCGATATGCGTGAAGCGAAGCTATGTTTTTCTCTTGACAATAAAGAAACTTACTGTAGAGGCCAAAGTTCTTGGCAAAGCTCTGGGTGACCATCAACTCGAAGCCACGGTCTGCAAAATAACGCACAGCCCACGCATCTTTATCTAGGTCCCCTGAAGCAAAGCCTTGGTAAGCTGTATCAAAAATCGGGAACAGCGACTTGGCTTCGATCACGTCAGCAATCTGCTTCCATTGTTCCTGTGAACAAATCATCAGATGAAACTCATCACAAGATCGATGATTCTCCCAATATTAAATAAAACTGTGGAAATTGTGGTTTCAAAGGGTTTCTAATATACAGAACACGACTACATAGTTTAATAATTTGGTCTCCATGTCATCACACTAATCATGAACGCGAATAAATTATTACTTTAATTACCATAAAAGTTATCTCAAGGATGTACCAGCAATGTAATTAATTTTGCTATGTAATGAAATGTTTGTTAGGTTCCTGTAAGGGTAAACGTTATGATGTTACCTGCGTCGGGTCAACACCAGTGGGGTTGTGGGCACATGCGTGCAGGATGATGACGGAGTTGGCAGAAGCAGCATTAAGGTCTTCCAGCATGCCATTGATGTCAAGGCCACGGTTAGCAGCGTCCCAATACCTAGTAAAAATGAACATGATTAGATGTCTTCAATCTCTAGATTTTTTGTAAGAAATAAATCCCTGTAGCAATAAATTATAAGGATCAACCTTTTCGCTTTAGCTAGGAAAAATCTAACCATTCAATAGCAATCTCTGCTTCTACTGCACACTCATCAGACCTTGTCAATGCCTATTTAACATAGAATATAAAAGAAAATCCTTGAACTTACCTATACTGGTGGGTTTCGGTGAAGCCAGCATGCTCGAAAATCATCTTGTGATTTCCTATTAAAACAAAATGAATCATCAATCTTTGATAGTTAGCAGCAGTGCAAAAGCTACCTACAAATGTTTAAAAATTTTAAAATCTTGTGCTGAATTTAAAATAAATAAATATAGGTACGTATTTGACAATGGGATTAATACACTATAAAGTTGAGCATGAAATTAAAAGCATCAAATCATAAATTGAAAAATTATAGCGCATGCTAATTTTGTGGGGTTGGAATTCAAGGTTTTTTCCTAGGTTTATTCAACACATCTGAGGAGGTGGATGCCATGACTAAAATTTACGTAATTTGGCTTATACATAATGAAAGAAAACAGTGTGTAGCACAGATTACTGCATTCCACATTTAACTATGCCAATGTATTTAAATATATTGGATAGCACATAACTTTTATTATAATTGTAAGAAGCAAAAGTAAGTACAAACTTGTAGAGATCACTTTTCGATAATATATTTATGCTAATTATGAATTATTTATTTATACTAATTAGGAATTATTTATTTACACTACTCACATTCAAGAACTCACCCCAAGTTGGGTTGCTGAAATAGAAGGAGTTGTACTTGAGCACATGCTTGAGGGTGTCGGCAGCTACTCGCAGAGCACCGGTGCCTGACAGCGTTTGAATTCCTGTAGCCTGAAGCAGAATAATCACTGGGCTGAACAACAAAGATCAAGAATGGAGAAAATTCATACAGCAGATATTTAAATGCTTCACCCACATTTTTTTACATAATAAAATGTTTCAGCATTAAATTTATAGCCCACATATTTTATTTTGCAAATGCATGGAAATTGATTCCAACTGTATTGGCCTAATTTTGACTAATCCCCCAACCATAAGAAATGTTAAGGTTATTTCTTTAACAACTTTATGGTGCTTTTATGTAAGCATATAAAGCATCAGAGAACATTAGTCTAAGTCACTAAATATGCAGTTTGGTGGGGGATACTGGAGACAAATTATAAATATGTGTTACGTATTGAATTCAGAATCTTGTTAGCACCATTATTTATGTAAGAATGAATGTGCAACTCTGGGAAATTTCCATCACAAAAATACTAACACCAAAAAAAAATTTCAGCAACTTGAAAAATTAACCCTTTGGCCAGTAGATACAGGATATCACATTAATTTATATTTCAAAAGGAAATGAAACAAAATAAGATCCTGTGCATTATACAAAAATTGGAATATTTAGGTAGCATTAAAAGCAGTACGTACCATAAACTGGGGTAACTTAGACCGCTTTTTTTTTAATGATGCCATTTTTTTACTAGATAAGTTAGACTTGAATTGAAACATGCAAAATACAGGTCTATACTCTAGCTTCACTCACCATAAATTGCTGGCTCCTGCCTCTCATAGATTTGATGTAATTTAAAAAAAATCGATGGTCTTTTTTACCCCAGCTCTGGGGGTATCTTAGACTGGGTGGTAAAATCAATCATACTTTTTGGTAAAATAACTCCAGGTTTTGGTGCATTGTAGTAGAGCTCTTCTAGTTACATATGCAAATAACAAATTTGAGGAAAGTTGCATAGTTTGCAAATGGGGGGTCCCGCCCCCCAGGTGGTCCAAGTTCCCCCAAACGGGGGAACTCTGACCACCTAATGGCAGCCCTGACAGGGTTAACATAGACCGGCTTGGAAATTAAGTTAAAATTACCATATATAAGACTCTGTAGAGTCTGAAACCTATAAGATTTTATAAATACAGTTGCTAAGCTCAATATATTTTGTATTGCATAAATGTTCTTGTTCGCCCTCATATTTTCATTTTTGTAACAATGGCCAGATGATTGGTGATAAGCAGAGGCATGATAATGTAATCATAAACACAAACAAAAAGATGCAGTGGGTTTTTTGGGAAGATCCTAAGCAACCTTAATTTATTGAATGATTAATTTCTATTTACAACACTTCTCTTTAACTTCACTTCTTGTCTGTTTGTCTGTCTGCTACAAATCTTGTAATTGAAATTTAATACCTACAATTCTACTTATCCTATCGATCTGAAATTTTGCACGCTTGTGTAAAGTTGGAGACAATGCATGAATCAAATGTCAAAGAGATGATTTTAAAAATTAATTTTTTTTAATATTTAAAAATTGAAAAAATAATTTGGTCAGCCACAAATCTTATAACTGATATTTGACACACTTTTACCTGTCTAATTGATCTGAAATTTGGCACACTTGTGAAGTCAGAGGCAATGCATGAATCAATTAACAGAATAAATAATTTTGAAAAAAATTATATATTAAAAAAATTTTATATATTAAAAAATTGAAAAATTACTTTTTTTAATATTCTAAAATTAAATGAGAAATTCATTGTACATCTTTAAGATTGGAGACACTGGATTCTTTGGAAGTGTTGTCTTTAAAAAGTAATTTTTAAACGTATATTATTATCTCTTCATCTCAAATAAAGACCACTGAAAAATCAACACAAGCCTACAAAGAACATCAGTATTTTTAATATCTAAACCACATGTGATCCAATATGCAGTTCAGAATTTCAGACTATGAACACATAGGTAGATAAATTAGGTTGCTTGATCAATTCCAACTTATGATCTAGCCACAGATTATGTATTTTATAGGTTTGGCACACAATAGCAATTCACATCATCAACTATGAAAAATTTGTTTTGAAATGTACCTATAGGTTTGTTTAGAATATGTACATTAGTTGTAAAGCAATTTTTTTTAAAGATCTTGCTGCTGCATTTGTACACCTCCCAAAAATTACTAAAATATGTGTAGACTTTTTACATTGATTCATCGATTCTCAAAATTAATTTTGGGAAAAACCATAACCTTGCTGACCAATTTACACAGCTTTCATATGCTTATATTGGCATAAACTTACCCTTCCCTCCTTCAAAACGGCACTGTTTTCTCCCAGCACCATTTTTGTAGCAGCAGTTGAGAAGCTTTCCAGCCCAAGAATGGGCAGGTACTCATGGTTGAGGCTCGTGTCTGCGGCCATCGCAGTCTCAGTCTCCCTCACAACAGGCAGCACCCACGGCTTGCTGTCATCAGTTCGGTAAGCTGAAAAATACAATACAAGGTGAGACTCTGATTGTGTGATTGAAATTTCTGCCCCAAATCTTGTCGGTCTAATTCACTTATTATTGATGCACTATTACCATATCCATGAACATGCATCATAGTTTAGGTCAATTACTTTTCATTCTATGATGCCTGGTGCGCAATTGTAAATATGACATTCTATGCACAATTTTGTGATGCCCGATGATGCACTAATTTTTCGATTATTGAACTTTTTTCGCTCAGCAAGGTAAATGTAATCAATATTCTTTGTTTTTAATAAATTTTTTTTCTTAACTGGAGCCTTTGCTAACTGAGGTTCTACTGTAAATGCGCTTTTGGGGGTGTCCCGAGTAGCCCCACCGTGCGGAAATGACCGCAATTTTTTTGGAATGAGATAGGCAAAATCTGTCGATTACGTTTTCAAGCCGACACCTGGGTGCAACTTTTATGTAAGTAAAATTTTTTAATACGGTGAATTTTTTTTTTACTACAGACCTTAGCAGAAGTAACTTTCCAAAATATTGTTTTTCACCATTTTTTCAGGAATTTTTCAAAGCTAGTGAATGTAGTATTTTTGAACTTCCTTAATACTACATAAATAGGAAAAATGTTGACGTTTATGCCACTATATTTAGTTTTGTAATATTCCAATTAGTTTTGCTACTAAAACAGTTTTACGCCGTGTCAGAGGACTGTCCCGAGTTACCCCGCCCGTCCCGAGTAGCCCCGGTTGACGGTATTCAAGTTTGAATGAGTTGCATCACTGGAAAACAGGCTACTTTGGGATCCACAGTTAAAGTGTTAAACAATGATAAGTATCAATTATTCAATTTTATATAATTTAATAATAATAATATGCTTTTAAAAATTAATTTTCAAGACAACACTTCAAAGAATCCAGTGTTTCCAATGTTCACATGTACAATGAATTTCTAATTTTATTATCAAATAAAAAAATTAATTTTTTAATTTTATTTTAACAATTTTTTTTTAATTTTTCTAAATGATATATTCTGTCAATTGATTCATGCATTGTCTCTAACTTTATGCAAATGTGCAAAATTTCAGATTGATTGGAGAGGTAGAAGTGTGATAAATATCAATTATAAGATTTGTAGCAGACAGACAAACAAACAAACAAACAAGAAGTGAAGTTAAAGAGAAGCATTGTAATAATTGAAGCATATCTTATGTCAATTACAGAGTCGGTTTAACCGCGCCTTGTCTCGTTCATAACTCGAATGGTCGAGTTTGGCAACGTTCGCTGGTAAGTGCGCCATGCCGGTGCTCTAGTTACTCGTTAGCCTTCAACCGGTCCAGATCGCTGCCATATCTACTGCTCATTTTTATCAAACTACATAATTTTTCTTGATAAATTACCATCATAATTATGGACAAAAAGGGAAGAAATCTAAATCTAAGGAGAGAAAGAAATCTAATACTACTGTGCAATTGAAATTGGATTTGTTTTTCAGTAAAAAATAAATTTTAATTCATTCGCATTTATTTTATTTATTTCTCCTATTATTTAGAAAAAAATATGATGAATTTTAGTGGAAAAAAAAATTATTATGTAACTTTGCTATTTTTGAGGATTCATTATAATTATTCCCATATATTCTCAAGTTTGATTAGCGCGGTTTTGCTTAACACGGTAAAACTCAGGGATTTATTAACCACATTAATCAAGGGATTGCTGTACATTATATTGTTTTGTTCTGCTACTGAGAAAATGGCAACTTGCTATGATTTGCTACTTTGACAACTGACACTTTTAAAGTTATACTTCATTCTAGATATGAAATCTCAAGAAATAAGTAAATTTTTAATTATCTATTAGAAGTTAACTTTTCATTTCATGAAAAATTTCAGGTGACTAATTGTCTCTGATCAAAAATTAAATTCTTTAAATCTCTTAACTCAACTTGGTCAAGTGCTGTCTCCTGACTCCTGTCACTACCTTCCTCCCCCTGGCCTGTCTCCTGTCACTACCCTGTCTTGTCTTTCCTCCCCCCCTGCCCTGTCTCCTGTCAGTGTCACCCACTTCCTCCCAAAGGGAAAAAGAACAGGAAGCCCTTCACCAAGACCCAGAAGTGCTGCCAATCCTAGAATGGCATGATATAATCCATCAGCCCATCTTCCCCAATCCCATTCATCAATCTTCAAAGCTTACCCTCAATGGATATTTAGATCTCGTGTTTTTTAAGCTCACTTATAGTACCAAAACCTTGAAATTAAAATTTATTATGGGTTAAATTTTGCCTTCTGGTGAATTTGTGCCATTCATATCTATCAGTCACACATTTTCTTTTCTCCATCCACCTGCCGCACTCAACCAAAATGTTTCAGTTAGAATAGAGAGCCTACACCAAAAGCTTTCCAATGGTGTTAAAATCTTTAGAAATTGCTAATAGGAAATCTGGAAATAATTGATTTTACAAAATAAGTGCAAAAAAATTTCCATTTTTGGGATGCTATAGAATAATGGAAAAAATCATAGTTCTCTCATTTTATTTGTACTCCACTCATATTTATATGGTATTTTTCTAGATTATTTTCTCTTTTCAAATGTATAATTTTCATTACAATCAAGAAAAAAATTTTGTGCACATACCGGTACTTATTTAAATTTTAAAGGACTCAAAATTAAACTTGCAGAAAGAGTGTAAAAAACTCCATTTTGCTACCTAGCCTTCTATGATTAACACAAGTACACAACTAGAAAAACTGAAATACAATTCAATATTTCAATTGGATAACTATGCTTGTCAAGTCAAGTTGTCAATTTGTTGGGAACTTTATAAATGCAGAAATGCCCAGGATTTTGGATAAATTTAACTGAGAATTTGTGAAATAAAGCAAAACTGTTTAGCCTACTTAAAAAAAATATAAACACAAGTTCTTGCCCACAGTCAGTTACACTGTTACAGCCAATATGCCTGTGCCTAGTATTCCAAATAACATATGCCTAATGCCTAGAACTTGAGGAGTGAGTGAGGCTGAGGCTAGAAGTAGAAGACACGTCACTCTTAGGTACTCAAAGAGTCACAGTTTTGCACAGATAGGCTAGCTATACTATGAGTATATGATAATGATACTGGGCTTACTGGCGATACAAAACTCAACAAAATTCAAAGTAAGAAAGAATCTTGGTCGTACTGTCGCATCACTTACTCACCACCAATACTAAGGTTGACTTTCTTTTCATGCGCATCATCATTGAAAGCTTTTACTACAGCAAATACTTCAATAGCTGCCGCTTGAGATACCTCGCTAAACCTTCCAGCCATGTCTGCTAACACACGTAGCAGTTGTAGCTATTCTAATTTACAGTAGCGCTAACACACCAAACTTAACCACGGCTACTGACCGACTGAAGTATAAATGCAGAACAGAACAGCTGACTATAGTGGTAGAGGGGGGGAAAAAAACTACGTGTAATAGTATGATGTGTATTCCAGCTATTTAATAAAGCAATTTAATTCTTTATACGAGATTAATTATGCATTCAACCTTCATCTTGAATTTCAAGGTCAACATTAAAATTTATTGTTGCTGACTTAATCTGGGCGCAAAACTATGCTTCTTGAGCGTGTATCAACACTCAAATAGTAAAGTAAATATAAAATTGGATGTATTCTTGCGAACATTGACGAAAAAATTGTATTAGTATCACAGGTGGAATCTAATTTCCATATATGTATTCTACCATTATACCAAAAATTATTCGCTATATAAGCAAAGCACACACCAATATAAATGTTAAGATATGAAGTTTTCTGATAACCTATAAAAAGTACGCAAAGCGAGTGCAGAAAATGGTTCCTAAGTAACTTGTTTTCGAATAACACTAACTTAGATCCACGAGTGATGCGAATTTTATTATAATTTGTGCGGACATTAACGGGGCGTCTACCCTAAAGTTTTCGGATTTGGCTTTTCCGGTTTTTAGTCTCATCTTAAAGCTGACATTCTGCCCTATCCAACGGTACCATTACCATCGCTACGTTGATTTATGCGTTCAAGACAGATCATGAAAGGGAGGAGGGTGGGGAAGTTCTTTAACAAATAGAATAGAAGGAAATTCGCTGCGAGCACTTTAAATAGTGTCTGCTTGAGGTGCACCTTATTTGCCCGCCTGGCGTCGTATGAGGAGGTGTGCATGCAGTCGCTCCCACCAAGGCCACCATCCTTGACTGGAATCAAGCTCCAGTAACGTTTAGTTTTGTATCCTTGCTACATTGAGTGCCTATTGCGATGCGCGCTCGCCTGAACATTCACACTTATTGTCACGGCAAACCTATCTCCTCCTAGAGTTTTGAAGCTACAGCGATGAGACATATGCCATTCGATTCGTAAAGACCATACCTATCGAGTTACGAAGCCCTTTCAGATTTGTGTATAGTTTGGATTCAAAATGGGGGTAGGGGGGAAAATCTGAAGAAAATGAGAAGAAAACGGGAAAATGCGTGTAAAAAAAAGAAGGCAAAAATAAATAAATCGGGCTTCGTTACTCGATTGGTATGGTCTTTACGAATCGAATGGTACATCTTTCAATGCTGTAGCTTGAAAACTGTAGGAGGAGTACCCCCTTTTTTGTCCGTTTTCTATAAATTTCACGTTTTCTATTTATTTTTCCTAGAAAATCATACAAACAAAATCTGCTTGTATTTCGGTTTTACATATATGTGTCAAGTTTCAGAAAGATCCGTTCGTAAATGTGGAAGTTTTTTCTGAAGGGTAGACGCCCCCCTTAAAAGAAGCCATTTCGTGTGCAGGATTTCTTCGAAAAACACAAAGGAATATGAACATAGAGCCTGACAAATTTTGAGTATGGAACATGGTTTCACTCGCTCATGAAGACCTGGTTGAAGCGATCCGTCCACCTGTCTTTTGATCTCAACGGGCGCTTCTTGGATGGCTGGCCTGAGGGAAACAGTAACACAGCCGTCAGATTAACGGGACTGATTGCAGTCCAGAGAATTTTCTATCAAAATGAGGAATGCAGATAATAAATAGGAGTTCAGTACAACGAAGGAAATTACCTGTCTCTTATACACATCTAGATGTGTATAAGAGACAGGAATAGGCCCGAAAACGCTTCCATGTGGCACGCCGCTGCGCACTGAAGCCCAGTCTGATACAGACCCATTAATACTGACACGTTGTCGTCTCCCTACTTGAAAATCTCTGATCCATTTGAGTACACTTTTTTCAATTCCCAAAGACTGCAATTTACGCAACAGCCGCTCATGTGGGACACTGTCAAATGCCTTGGCAAAATCGAGGTACACTGCATCTACTGGCTCCCTTTCGTCCAGCAGGCGGGTCCATTCGTTCATAGTAGACAAGAGGTTAGTGTTGCGGGATCTCCCGGCAATAAAGCCATGTTGACAGTCTGATAGGAGACTATTAGCAGTCAAATGATCTATCAATCGATCTCTCACAATAGCCTTCCATATCAATCGCAACAGGCCATGGGCCTATTTCTTCAAAGCCGACACTTCTATTCTATAACAGATTCCATTACCTTGCAAACGACACTCGTCAAACTGACAGGGCGATAGTTGCCCGGGCATCTTTTGTCACCTTTTTTGAATAATGGTGTCACTTGAACTCCTTTCCAGTCAGCCGGCAAGATCACTTCGTTCAAAGTCTTTCAAAAAATGACGTTAAAGGGCCGGCTAGGACAGTTGCTAACTCTTTGAGTAATCTGGGGTGGAAGCCGTCCGGTCCACATGACTTGTTTGGATTTACAGCGATAAGGCGCTAGGGAACCTCTTCTTCTTGTATTTCAAAACTTGTTAATTTAGAGCCGACTGGGCGCTCCTCAATAGCTGGAATACTGTTCAAGTCCTCTACAGCGAATACGCTACTGAAAAAATGATTATGAGCGTTAGCCTTGCCCTCATCAGAGGATATCTTTCGTTGATCTACTTTCAGATCAGAGATACCGTCTTTCATCTTGCACTTCGAGCTAGCGTACAAAAAGAAGGCTTTCGTTTTTTTTTTCATTTTTAGCAACATTTTTTTTCGAGGGTTTCTACTGCGGTGCGACAGCTTTCTTTAGCTTGATTTTGAGCTCTTGCGTATAGGTTATAGTCAGCATTGCTACAAGTCTGTAAATAACGCTGGTGTGCTTCCTTTGTTGTATTGAATCCTGTTTCATTGTTATTTCTAGCCAAATGAATCGTGTTGCAAGCAACGAATCTCTGGATGAAAGCTTCCAGCTTAGGATTGTCTCGAAGCGCAAAGAACAAAAAATATATAATACTTGAGAACTATCCATCCATTCATGATTTTACCTATCAACAAAAAAAGACGCAAGCTGAAATGAATTTCAAAATTTTGTCATCATCCCGTCAGAATCACGCAAACTACTAGTTTGCGTGTCGGTGTCCGAGCCCACATTTTCACCGTGAGGCAGCTGCTCCGCAGGACCGGCCAAGATGATGATTTTCTTCGGAATTTTCTTGACGGGAGCGACGGACTTGGTGACGCCCTCCGAGACGTCGTAGCAACGCGGCCACACCAGGATCAGGAACACGTCGAATAAGTAGTAGACCACGTCGAAGACGGTGATCAGCGACACGCCCACGAAGCCCAAGTTGCCTCCCAAATTTGCGATCAGAGTCGCCCACTGTGGGCATAAAATAAGCATATAAGTTGAGAAAAAATTACAAGTATGATGAACCAAGACGATGTCTGCTGAATAAGATATAAGTGCTTGTTGCGTAAATTACAGCTACACTTGAATCAAGAGTAAATTTTAAGGTATTGTATTGTCGATCGAAACATTATGTTGTTCAGGAATGTAAACATCGAACTAGCACTCCTTAGCAGGCTAATGTGTACGACACATTGTTGAGCTTCTCACTGTACTACAGGCTGGAGATTCATCATTATTCATGAGACATTGTCAGATTTTACTCACTGTGTAGACTGGAGATTCATCATTCCACACGAGACATAGTAAAGTTTTACTCACTGTATAGGCTGGAGATTCTTCAATTTGTTCGAATGAGAACGAGTCAATGTAGATCTGAAGGCGAACCGTAGAATTCCATTCCCTGCTCAGGGAGAGTTGACGTTGTTATTATGGAATTGTTTGAAACCTACAAACCATCGTCATTTTCCGTTGAGTCATTTAAAATTTTCTAAAATCCATTAATGATCGGAAAAAATATTCATTAGTGGTATATTAAATCAGGTAACTCTATTAGGTTACTTTGATAGAATGTTCATATTAATGCACAGCCATTGTTGAGTCAGTATTCATGACTGGCTTAATATACACGAATATTATCACGAATTATTATTCAAATTAAAAGCAAATAATAGTCCACAAAAATTCACATCTTTATAGAAAACGTTTCGGAGTCCAGCTCCATCGTCAGTTCGTAGAATCTAGAATATACATAGAAAGTCACAAGTTAATACAATTGAAAGCACAGAACACAATTAGAACCTAAATTTACAAGTAATAGGGCATAAAAACCTATCTATTCAAAATTTCAAGGGGATAGGAGCTCACAGCTGAATTTAAACTAAGCCTAAGCTTAAAAATGTGCAATGATTCTAAGATTCGCAAATCTGAAGTACCGGAGATAGAAGCTAACACCCTAAAGTCACTGTCAGAAACAGGCAAATCACACTGCTCGGCGTGAGTGCGCACAGCCGAATGAGGGGGGCGCGATAGCAACTGTCCGGTCCTACAAATCCTGCCCTTATGCTCAGCGATCCTGGAATAAAGATTGCGTGACGTCATCCCGACGTACGCAGATGCACATTGTGCACAACGAAATTGATAAACCAGGGACGATCGCATATGAACAGGGAGCATATCTTTATATCTAAAGAAAGAACCGATTTTCGAACTGTTTACCAGAACAATATGGAGTTTGACGTTTGGGAAGTATCTATTGAACAAGACTTTTAATTCTCTTGACATAGTTTCGGACGCAGGGCCGAAGTATGGCAAAGAACAATAAATAACGTTCCTACTATCGCGCTCGGGAGCAACCTCACTGAATCGCTTCGACATGAATTTCTTGATTTGGGTATACACCAAACTTGCCAATAATTAATTAAGCGAGAAAATATTTCTTAAAAATTCAAATTCAGCACGCATAGACTGGGATTTGAGCAAATGCGAAAACCTCTGTATAATAATGTTTGAAGCCCATTTAACTTGAACCGGAATGAACAAAAACTAAAGAAACTGGTATTTAGGCCGGTGAATGTCGCTTTTTCAAGTTAAATGGGCTTCAAACATTATTATACAGAGGTTTTCGCATTTGCTCAACATACCTGGCTATGCACGCTGAATTTGAATTTTTAAGAAATATTTTCTCGCTTTATGGATTTCCGGCAAGTTTGGTGTATACCCAAATCAAGAAATTCATGTTGAAGCGATTCAGTGAGGTTGCTCCCGAGCGCGATGGTAGGAACGTTATTTATTGTTCTTTTCCATACTTCGGCCCCGCGTCCGAAGCTATGTCAAGAGAATTAAAAGTCTTGTTCAATAAATACTTCCCAGACGGTAAACTCCATATTGTTCTGGTAAACAGTTTGAAAATCGGTTATTTCTTTAGCTATAAAGATATGCTCCCTGTTCATATGCGATCGTCCCTGGTTTATCAATTTTGTTGTGCACAATGTGCATCTGCGTACGTCGGGATGACGTCACGCAATCTTTATTCCAGGATCGCTGAGCATAAGGGCAGGATTTGTAGGACCGGACAGTTGCTATCGCGCCCCCCTCATTCGGCTGTGCGCACTCACGCCGAGCAATGTGATGTGCCTGTTTCTGACAGTGACTTTAGGGTGTTAGCTTCTACCTCCGGTACTTCAGATTTGTGTATTTTAGAATCATTGTACATTTTTAAGCTTAGGCCCAGTTTAAATTCAGCTGTGAGCTCCTATCCCCTTGAAATTGATAGGTTTTAAAACCTATCAATAAAACCTAGGAATAGATAGGTTTTAATGCCCTATTACTTGTAAATTTAGGTTCTAATTGTGTTCTGTGCTTTCAATTGTATTAACTTGTGACTTTCTATGTATATTCTAGATTCTACGAACTGACGATGGAGCTGGACTCCGAAACGTTTTCTATAAAGATATGAATTTTTGTGGACTATTAATTCTTTGCTTTTAAATTTTTAGTCAACTGGCGATTTAAGCAAATAAGTGACATCAATACATTATTCAAATTTTACGGACATTTGAATAATGCTCGTTAAATTTATTTTAATCGCAAGACTTGTCTTTCTTTAATAATCTGATACAATATCTAGTGTTTTGCTCGAAAATAAGCATCCCGTGCTCTATATAGTATTAATTGTAGAGGCTCGTATCATTCCATAGTCATTTTACATTCACCCTAAAAAACACTGACCCAAGCGAGGAATAGTATACATAAAATCCATTCAATAGTAAAATTCGCATTTACTTTAGTTTTTGAATACCAAGAGAGTTTCTTCAATATGAAATAATTTCAAGTTTCGCCATTGACGAATATCAGCTTTTTCCATAATTTTTGTTTCAATTTTTTGTTTTATCATAATTCAGCCCATGATAGCAGTCTAGCCATGAAATTTCACTCCTGTAAATGCAGCGCTGTCTTCTCATGTAACGTCAATGCCCCTTTAGCTGCCACATCACTCATGTCGCCAGCACTCAGTCAAAACCTTTAAATTCAAGAACAAACGGAACCACGACTTTCTATCGAGAACGAGATAGCATCATATTTATCATGTGGTAATAGAAAACTACAAATCGTAGTTACTGACTGATGATACGCGGTTTTAGTGACAAGCGTTGAATTAAGAGCATTATCTGGTAATTAAGTCGCGATTCACGTGTCTTTGACAGAATGGAAAATCATACTGTGCAATACTTATATAAAGTAGTTTATGCGACACAAAGTGTCATCTTGGGCGGTACTGAGGAACAAAAGTTTGACGCTGGCATAATCCGATAACATTTTTTGCAAGTCTAAAGGGGAGCGTCTACCCTCCGGAAAAACTTCTACAGTTATTATCCGATCATCATGAAACTTCACATACATACGTAAAATGTAAAAAAATAACATTTTGCTCATATGAATTTTTCGAAAAAATTGATAGAATACGGGAAATCCATAGAAAACGGTTCGTCAGAAACACTAATGAAGGTTATGAAAGCAACGAAGAGAAGAGCCCTATTTTGTCAAAACAATTGTGGTGGGCATTTAAAAGATATTATATTTAAAAACTAGGATACAATATTATCATAAAAATGTTCTTCTTTTAAATAAAACAAGTTTCAACTTCATAACGTTCATAGTTTTTTATTTATTAACAAATTAAAAGGGTTACTTAATTCTGAAACACCCTGTATATATGGTGCCAATACTCATACTCAATATATACTAGTATATTTATTTCTAGGTTCCGGTGTTTGAACTCCCTTTATTTAATTGGGAAGTCCCCAATTGGGAAGTCCCCCTTTCATAAATTTTAGCTGGTCAACGCAATTGAAGAAAACAAAATTGTGGAACTTGTCCAAAAAATTACCGTCTGGCAATAGTTTCCCAATAGTAGAAAAAAATTAAATAATAGTACAAGATGAAGCAATTAGGTTCAACGTCATAAGCCGTACAATTCATGCAAAGAAGATGCTTTTTATTCCCAAATCCATTTCCATTTTCCATTCTGACATTTTCATACATTTTCATTTCATACATTTTCCATTCTGACTAATCATTATATTTGATGATTGAATAGATAGAGGAGTTGTTTAAAAAATTTTCAATTTACTCACCAATTAGTATTTATTAACTACTAATAAATTTTTCATATTTAATATTTTAATGGATTATATTCAAATTGGGTAAAAAGTTACTCTTGCCATCTATTTTAATTGGCAAGCTGCTATCATAATCCTAGGTTTCATATGAAGGCAGTAATGAGCAGAAGAGGTAATGCATATAGAAAACTTGAAACTGCAAATGCAAAATGAAATTCTCGACTCACCTGCATTGGAAACATTTTGTTCACTCTCAGGGTATCCCACACTAAACACAGCCGTTTTTGACAACAAAAGTAGCATGGCCTCTTCTCCAGCAGAATATTTGATATCCACAGCAGGCCCTCTACCTAGATAATAAAGAAGAAGCATGACAACTAAAGAAAAATTATTTCTACATATTATATTATTTTTAACCAGTGTGTAGCTCTAGTGCCAGATTCATTAAAACAATACCAGTAACATTTTAATAAAAATCTCTTTGTAATGTTGTGTGAGCTTTAATTGTTTAGATATGAGTACTAGATAGAAAACAATCTCAAATATTCAAGAGACTTTTTCAAAATCTATTGATATAAAATTTACTACAAATGGTTTTTGGAAATAATAGGTGAAAATGAGTCATTATACTCAACATAACCAACGAAAATTAGGTAATGCCATGGACACCATTAATTTGTTTATTTTTTTATAGTTGGTTTTGGAGGCTTCCAGTGCTTGTGCACTGCCCAGCCTGGTCTCTGTCACTCATTTGATGAAAAACTGTGCACTGTGCAAAAGGGCTCAATGCCCCAAGTACCTTATATGCAGCATGCACCCAACATCCAGACATTTGGCCATGTATGGTAGCAAGGTTTTGAATATGCAAGTGATACGTATATGCGGCATGCCTTATAATAACATGCACAAAGAGTCAAGCTTTATGCTGCAATAAAGCATCCTAACAGCATGCTAAATTGCACAAACATGCAAAAAAACTGCAATTTATAGTTCTTTGATTTGAAGGAGAAAGCACCCCCAGTTTTGAGCTACATCAGAGAGACAGCTCCACTTTCCAGCAAATATTGTTGCAAGCATGAAAAGATTTGGTGACGCTGTTTGCTGGTGACTCCCGCACCCAGGGCTGTCTGCAGCCCCCAAGTAAGTCCCTGTGCATTCACTACACTTCTAAATATTGCTCATGGGCCACTGAATCTAGCGCAGTGTAATATGAAGTGAGCAATGGTGTTGTAAGACGTGGGAATGCTAGCAGCGCGGTATTGAGTCCCTTAAGGTCTGTGACT